GAGGCGCCCTCATAACAAATCTGCACGCCAAAGATTGCGTCAGCATCGATGCTTAAGAGCTAAAAGAACCATTTTGGGCTTGGGATATCCAGTTGCATCCAAGGCAGATATCACCATGTCAGCTTCTGCGCTGCTGTCTTCAGACTCTGCCTTCTCTACACCAGGACACAAAAATATAACTCCTCCAGCAGGATACAGTCACTCCTATAGGAAGGGAGACCAGCGCTCTACTGATTTCCTTCCCACTAGTTTCACATCCACCCAGGACTTCCAACACAGGGACAACTCAGACTGGGCTGCTGATATCCAGGAGGCAGTGAATGGGGTGTGCTTTGTGGCTGAACACATGATGGGAGATGATGATGATCAGAGTGTATGTATACTTTTTGTAGCACATATTTCACCTGGCTATTATTTCATATTCTATATAGTGACTGTAGCTATTTTAATATTTGTTACTATAGCAGTACGTATACAGTATAACTCGTTTGGTTTTTGAGTGTGTATTGTGCAGTCCCCTGTGAGCCTTAAAATATTAAGCATAAGCATGCTTAGTACTTGCCAGTTCTACAGCTGTCTTACCATTTATATAAAAGGATATTTTCCTTGTACAATTAAGAGTCATGATAGTGTAATTAAAAAGGATCAACAAGGCTCTAACACAAAAGGTCAAATTCAATGTCTCAGCTTAACTCAGGTGAAGCCTAGCAGATGTCTGCTGTCAGTTACTGTATGTATTGGCAATCCAACTGTTACTCAAAGGCCTCCCCCATTAGAATGCAAACTTTATAAACTTAACCTGATGAATTATTAAAAAAAATACAGAAAATACTTTGTCACGGACTCATAACTTAGCCAGCGACAGAGACCAATTATTTTGGGTCCAGACTATAAGCATAGTTTTTGCTCTAAACTTGTGCATTTGGGATCTTATTAGATTTTTCTTTAAAATCCCCAGAGTTTAACATTTGGGCTGGACCCAGAAGGCAATTAGCTTAGCTTACCATGTGTGGCAGCAGAAGTAAACAACTTGGGCCCTAAAGTTTAAATATCTACCTACAAAGAAATTTACTAATAAGGTGCAGTTTTTAAGTTTACTCTGGTTGCATATGTTAATATCATAAAAGAAACAATCGGTTATAAGCTGTGTGCTGTAAAGATGTCATGAGCAACAACAGTGCAACACAGTGACAAGGCAACCTGTGGAGAAACTTGACAGATGTGGATGCTCAACGGAATGTGATGTTTTTAACTGAGTTGAGTTTTTGTTTCGAGTCTGCTAATATTTCAGCATTTAATAACCAGCTGAGCGTCTTTGTTGTCAGCATCTAGAAGAGCTTTATATTGTCCTTTTTTCAAAACATTCTTAATCAAGAGAGTAAAAAGGTGAAAAAACATGCACCATAAATCATAATGCAGGCGTAGACCTCACTAATCCAATTGCTGACTAACTAAGCTAACGTATCTAGATATTGATCTGTTCACAGAATGGGTTTATAATGCTAACAAAAAGAGTGATATAAAGGTGACATTTCTGACAGTCCACATATGCGTGTTACTTTTGAAACAAATGACACAGAATTTACATGCAGATAAATATAACTTTATAAGTTTAGTTTATACTAATCTGTGTATGTGAAGTGGATGCTTAGATTTCATGTGATAGAAAGACTCATGCATTTGTTATTCTCTTTATTGGAATAATATGATGGTCCTGATGGGCCTCTGTTGTGGGAATAGCATCACCATCAATCTGTCTACAGTGCCATTATTGCTATCACCAGTTTTGCCTAGGGAAATAACGTTAGTTCAACCACATTTATTATGAAGTTAATTGCAGTCTACCTCCAATTCATTCATTAGGTGAGGTAACAGAATATGGAACTATTTTTTTTGTTGTTGTTATATATAATATATCAGGTGTCAGATACCAGCACGTAGCCTGGTCACAATAAACTGGGTCACAGCCATTTGTACTCAAATTATAACATTTTCCTCACACTCCGGGACGCTTAAGGTGCAGGAGGGAAAACTACTAACCCTAAGTAGTGGCTGTAACTCACCAAACTGAAGGCAGATTTTGATTTTATCATTCACTTTCTCCCTTCAAATCAATAGATACCAGCAAATCAATAACAGATCAATAGGGAGGAAACCAGGAATGAGAAATAGCTCGTTTCAAAAACCACTACAGACAGCACTGATGATGAGGTGAAAGGGTCAATAGATATTCCAATGTACAGAATGCAGCACTATGGAGACCGATCCTTTAAGGGTTTTACCTTGTTCCATGAAATGCATGAAGAAACGTTTTATAGAATATTATGTGTTCCCATTAAAACTAACAAGCATTTGCTTTTTTATTTATTGTCTTCATTTGGTTTCTATATTTCAACACGTTCTAACAGTATTAATTAATCTTACTGCTCTGCAATATTATACTTTGAAAAAAATATCAGCATGAAGAACCATGTACATTGACTAACTGAAATTATTTTATTGAATTCTGTGTTTTTGCAGGTTATAGAGGACTGGAAGTATGTGGCCATGGTAGTGGATCGTCTGTTTCTGTGGATCTTTGTGATAGTGTGTGTGGTGGGAACCCTGGGCCTGTTTCTCCAGCCTCTTTTCCAGAGTCAGATTGTTGCCAACCATGTGCCCAGTTCGGACATTCCTCGCATTTGATCCTCATACAGAAAGACTGAGCTACTTCAGGGTTTTCATAAGAAACTGTGCTATTAGGACAATATTATGTATGAGGGTATAGAGGCTTGTAAAAGTTTTGATGTCTTTTTAGTTTTTGCTTAGCACTGTGCTGGCAGGTAACAGAATCACTGATACAATGTCGTCTGTGCCAAATCGTACCCAGAGGGTTTGATAAAGTACTTGTAAACATGTAAGGTATGGTACAAAATAAATAAAAGCCACCTATTATCATATAGTATTTAAAAAAATATGCCCTAAAACAATAAATCACCCAATATGTTAAGGAATAGTTACATTTGCATATGTTAAAATGCAGCATCATTACACTGAGGCTGCTGTTTCTTCAAAGGATGGGTGTAGCTTTCACTGCACTGAAGTATGCTGAACTGTTGCATTAATATACATAATGTGATAAATATACTGTATGACTGCTCTCAGATGTAGTGTGACCTGTCATCTGTGTTACTGTGTCACTGAAATACAATGAAGAGCTGTGTGCTCTTTTAGTTTGATTAAATGCATGAAATTGCCTATAAAGTCTTAAAGATGTCAGGGTTTTGCCAATGTGCTTATTTAATCTGTAATGCTGGTGATAAAGATCAGAGCCAATGTGTTCATTTAGGGTGAGCCAGTTAGGATGGTTTATCATATAGATAAAACAGTTGTTCACTCTCAGTGCAAAAAAAAGCAAGACAAAGCAAAAAATACTGACACAACAAAACTTTTAGAGCTGGTCTTTATTGCGGTGTTTTAAGGTTGAGTACTTTCCATAGCCATTCCATATCACTGACATGTAACTGTTAGTAACTATTTCTCCTAAATTTATATATATACCAAGGGTCTAAATAAACAAAAACAAAAAAAGAAAAGAAAAAAAGAGATACTCTAGAATTTGTTTGTTTCATGCTGCAGTAATATGAAGGCTCATTTGTGCATTGACACTAAAAGCACCAAATCTTTGATAAGTGCTCATTTTTACAGATGGGCAATTGTAAGCACACACATAAATGGAATAAAACAAAGCAGACAAACGCAACCTACACTAACACACAAATGAAATGACACAATGCTTACAGCTCACTAAACAGTGCTGAGTGTGCTCATTAAAGGTTCTGCAGACTTTGGGTATTTTGTGAGCCATGCATGTAAATCAAGAGATAGCAATAAACATCTGTGTTTATGGATCGACTGGCTTTATTTTAATCTTAGTTTACAGTTTTCCCAAATGGTTAACTGTTTTTTTCATGCGCCTGTTAACTTCCATTTATTATTGAAGCAGGATGTTGCAATTCCACGGCACATATCCATAAAAAATATTTCTTCTGGTTCAGACCAAAAGGAGTTTTGTTTTCAACAATCATTCCCAAGCCTTATGTCAGCAGTTTTTTGTCATTAGGATACATATGCAAATATATTTAGCAGAGTATTTATTTTAATGCTTGTGTCTCCCAAGAGGATTTAATACACTGCAGTCCTCAAAAAGGCAAAGATCCACTCTTGAATTCTTAAATTCAACTTCAGTCTGTTTTTAAAAAAAAAAAAACTGATTTAGTTTATAACTGATTTAGAGATATTTATCATTAAATATGGTTTGTTGAATTACCCAAGCCTTGGTTAAAGCTTTCTATGTGTAGAATGTGTACAAATTCTGCTCTACCTGAATCAAACTTTCTGAAGGTCACTTGAAAATATACTACATAATCCTGTATTAATTCCCAGCACTCACTTTTCTTTCCATTGAAACCAAAAAAAGCTGAAATGAAATCAAACAGTATCCCTGGCCCTGATATAGATTCATTCATCTCAAAGTATATACCGCAGGTTAGAGGTCAGCTGAAAAGAAGGTCTGAATGACAGACCCACTGCGAAACACAGCTGGGCAAAATGAAAAATACAACAAATCTGGACAGCTAGAAAGAAGAAGAAGACAAAAATGAAGGACAGAACTCTATCTCAACTGAGTATCTGACAAACTCAAACCCAGTGGCACAGAGGCTATTGAACGCTCTTGAATGTAGTTTCTTAATTCAATATGAAAGTCTGTGAGAGGAAAATTTGTGTGAACACCACCTGGGTCAACTGTCTGCCAAAAATGTTTGCTTCACAGCACCCAGACATGACAGAAACATGCAAAATGTTTTTAACTAAACAAAATTCATCTGATTGTGATTTAACTGTTGTTATATAGCCGGCGCAGAATGGGTGGGGGAGGCGGGGGGG